GGAGGCCCCAGAGACAGTGCACCTGGTGGTCAGACTCAACCACACTGGATTACAACCCTACCACATCGACGAGTGACACACTCGAGGGGTCCACTTAGCAAACACCAAAGCTCCACTGAAGTAAATCCTGCTCCATAGGGGTGTCCCCAGCACAGCAGCTCTCTGGCCGTAGTTGCAGCTGGTCCTCACAGGTGATTGGCCTGGGGGTCAGTTCCTCCCAGTGACACCAACAGCAACCAAGGCTCAACTACAACAGGACAGTGCACACAGTCCACATGGGAGCACCTAGAAGGCCCAGCTCAGGTGACTGGAGAGGCTGAGCCACTGGACCCTACAGGACACCTACTACACAAAGCCACTCTACCAATTCCAGGAGACATAGCAGCTGTACCTAATACACAGAAACAAACACCTGGAAGCAGCCAAAATCTGGAGGCAAAGAAACATGTCACAAACGAAAGAACAGAAGAAATCTCTAGAAAAGAAAATGAAATAGATCCAAGCAAGCTAATAGATACAGAGTTCAGAATAATGGTTATAAGGATGCTCAAGGATATTAGTAAGAGTATGACAAAAATAATTGAGAAAATCGATGACATAATAAAGAACCAATTTGATATGAAGGCTACAGGAACTGAAATGAAGAATAATTGACAGGGAATCAACAGTAGAGTAGAGGATGCTGAGAATCAAATCAGCAATTTGGAACATGCAGAAACAAAAACACCCAACCAGAAGAGCAAAAAGAAAAAAATCCAGAAATATGAAGATAGCCTAAGGAGCCTCTGGGACAACTTCAAGAGGTCCAACGTTCATATTATTGGGGTGTCAGCAGAGGAAAGAGAGTAAGAAATTGAAAACCTATTTGAAAAAATAATGACAGAAAACTTCCCCTACCTGGGGAAAGAAATAGACTTACAAGTCCAGAAAGCAGAGAGAGTCCTAAACAAGAGGAACCCAAAGAGGCCTAAAGCAAGACACATCATCATTAAAATGCCAAAGGTTAAAGACAAACTGAGAATCTTAAAAGCAGCAAGAGAAAGCAGTTAATTACCTACAAGGGAGCACCCATACGAATGTCAGCTGATCTCTCAAAAGAAACTTTGCAGGCCAGAAGGGAGTGGCAAGAAATATTCAAAGTGATGGAAAACATGGAACTACAACCAACATTGCTCTACCCAGCAAAACTATCATTTAGAAATAAAGGTCAGATAAAGAGCTTCACAGATAAGAAAAAGCTAAAGGAGTTCATCACCACCAAACCAGCACTACAGGAAATGTTGAAGGGTCTTCTTTAACAAGAAGCTAATGAACAAAAGAATCTGATGAACTAAATAGATCCAGAGACATTGACGCATGTAACAGACAATCATATTTCAGAGGGAAGAGGAAAGGGAGGTGAAGGTGGGGAGAGATTAACCAAAGTAGTTATATGCATATATGCATAACCCATGGACACAGACAATGACAGGGTGAAGGCCTGGGGTGAGATGGAGGGGTCAACTGGGGGGAAAAATGGGACACCTGTAATACTTTCAACAATAAAGATAAATTAAAAAAAAAAAAACAGGTCAAGGCAGCCAGTATACAACACAGGCAAGAAAAAAACAACCATATCATTGGTTTTGAATGTACCAATGCAGATATCATAATCAGAAGTACACACTCACTAGCACCACTAACACCTTAAGTTGTTTCTTACACAAAGTAAACCTTATGTGGTTATAATCTAGAGAAATGGGGAATCAGAATATTCACAAACAGGAAAAGTGTGAAGCAGTTTCCTGGTGGACACATGAGGGCTTACAGAAAAATGCAAACTGATGGGTCTTTGATGTAGATCTTGTGAAATGTCAGTAAAAACCTACACAAATACAAGATGGAAATCAAACAGTTGGTGGTGGTTTTGAGGCTATTCTTGATTGGAAGTGCAAAAATTCCAGAAAATGGGCTGGAAGATGGCATCCTCAAAGCTCCTATTTATCTCTCTCTCTCCCTGTATGTTGGCTCCAAAATCTGCCTGATGCCTTCTTTGCTTCTGCCTTTCCAGTGAGGCTACTGGTGAACTCTACCATGGAACCATAAAGGGAGTGAGTGCTGGAAGATCTAGTTCCTAACATTACGTATAAGATGGGATAGACCCAAGTCTAGTTTTATTCTATAACAGGTCACTCTCCTTAAAACGAAGTCTATTCAACAAATACAGATGAAAGAAAAGACAAAATGCAAAGGCCCAAAGGCAAAAATAATAATTCACATCAAACTATATTCTTTTATAAACTTGCCATACATAAAAATTTATTCCAAATTTTTATTAGTAATGGAAAATTGGAAAAGTCTCTTATACCACTCACCCCCAAAAGGAGCTTTGTTAGAGAGAAAAACAGAATGTATACAATAAGAGATATTCAGGAACTGTCACAAGGCCAGTAGAAAAATCCTAACAAACACCAAACTATCATTTTTCAGTGGCCCCATAACAGAACAAAGAAAGCATTATCAAAAAGTTAAACCTCTTTGCATATTACAAATATACTTTAATTCACCCATGGAACCAACAGGCTTCAAAATGGACCAGACAATATGAACTGCTTTAAGAAACATCACCATCTATTAAACTCATGTACTATTGTTGAAAGATGACTCAAAAAGACCTTGTCTCAATCTTTGTTTATAAAAGTAATTAGTAGAAATAGACACTCTAATAAGGTACTTTCAGAAAGAGCCTTGATAAACTGTATTTACAACTAGTAACAACTCTTTCATGACAAAAGTTTTCTGGAACATTATACATGTTTTAATTTCCATCAAGCTTTCTCATGTTACTTACATTTGTTTTTGGTTTTTGGTGGGAGTTTTTATTTGTAAGAATGTGACCCAATTGATGTCTTATCAATATTGTTTACATTCAGGAGGGTTTTTAAACATATATATATATGTTTATATACATATATATATTATATATATATATATATATTGATTTCAGAGAGAGGAAAGAAGAGGGAGAGAGATAGAAATATCAATGATGAGAGAGTCATTGATCGGCTGCCTCCTGCATGCCCCGACTGGGGATTGAGCCTACAACCCGGGCATGTGCCCTGACTGGAATCGAACCTCCATCTCATGCATCCTAGGTCAATTCTCAACCACTGAGCCATGCCCGGCCGAGCCATTCAGGAGGTTTTATCCAATGAGTGTTTTCATGCCTTCAGAGAAAAGTGGGATGATTTTTTTCATGTTTCCAAAACTAGAATATCATCTACAGGCTTTTTTACATTCCTTATATTTATAGGGTGTCTCTATAGTGTACCATTCTCACATGTCTTTCAATGGTTGTGTAAAAAATAAAAGCTTTACCACAACTTTTACAGTCACATATTTCTCTCAAATATGAGTCCATTCATGGTATTTGGAGATAACTGGAGGACATAAATCTTTTACTACATTTCTTTACATTTATAGGATTTCCCTTCAGTATTACTTAGATGAAAACTGAAAGCTTGACCATATTCCTTATATTTACAGGATCTCTCACATAGGACAGACCCTGTGAATATAGAATTTTTTAATGTTTTTAAGAAACTAATCTGGAGGCTTTACCACATCTTTTAAATTCATTGGGGTTCTCTTCAGTGTGATTTTTCATGATTTTTAAGATAACCTGGACATCTGAATGCTATACTACATTCTTTACCTTTATGGATTTCCCTTCATGTGAGTTCTTTCATATCTTCGAAGATAACTGCGACAAATAAATGCTTTAGTACATTATTTACATTCATAGGGTTTCTCATCAGTATGAGTTCTTTTGTGTGCTTGGAAGCATTTGTGATCTGTGTAGGCTTTACCACGTTGTTTACATTCATAGGGTTTCTCTCCACTGTGAGTTCTTTCATGTATTCGAAGAGAACTGGAACACCTGAATGCTTTACTACATGTTTTACATTCATAGGGTTTCTCTCCAGTGTGAGTTCTTTCATGTGTTTGTAAAGAACTTTGGACTCTGAAGGCTTTTCCACACTCCTTACACTCATAAGGCTTCTCTTGAATGTGAGTTTTTTCATGGTTTCTAAGATCACTAGGGTACCTGAATGCTTCAGTACATTTTTTACATTGATAGGGTTTCTCCCCAGTGTGATTTCTTTCACGTTTTCAAAAACTAGAATAACATCTGAAAGCTTTTCCACATTCTTTACACTCATAGGGTTGATCCTGAGAATGAGTTCTTCTGTGTGTTTGTAAAGAACTGTGATGTCTGTAGGCTTTACCACATTGTTTACATTTATAGGGTTTCTCTCCAGTGTGAGTTGTTTCATGTCTTCGAAGATCACTGGGTGAACTGAATGCTTTACTACATTTTTGACATACATAGGGTTTCTCTCCTGTGTGGTTTCTTTCATGTCTTCGGAGATGACTGTGCGAAATGAATGCTTTACTACATTGTTTACACTCAAAGGGCTTCTCTCCACTGTGATTTCTTTCATGAACTTGGAAACACAGATGAGAACTGAAAGCTTTACCACATTGTTTACATTCATACGGTTTCACGCCTGGGCGAGTCCTTTTATGTGACTGAAGACCTTGATAACATGTGAAGGCTTTTCCACATTCTTTACATTTATAGGGTTTTTCTCCTTTGTGATTCCTTTCATGTGCTTTCAAACTTTGATAATATCTAAAGGCTTTAGCACACTGTTTACACTGATAGATTTTCTCTCCAGTGTGGATGGTTCCATGTATTCAGAGAGAACTCAAAGAACTCAATGATTTGCCACATTCCTTACATACATAATGTTTCTCACCAGTATGACCTCTTTCATGTTTTTGGAGGGAAATGTAAACTCTGAAGGCTTTACCACACTCCTTACATTCATAAGGTTTCTCTCCAGTGTGAGTTCTTTCATGTATTCTAAATGAGCTGGAAGAAATAAATGCTTTATCACATTCCTTACATTTATAAGGTCCTTCTCCAGTGTGAGTGATCATGTGTACTTGAAGGCTGGAGAGAGCACTAAAGACCTTTCCACACTCCTTACATTTGTAGGGTTTTTCTCCAGTATGAGTTCTTTCATGTCTTTGAAGAGAGTGGACAGAACTGAAGTCTTTACTACATTTTTTACATCCATAGGGTTTCTCTCCCGTGTGAGTCCCTTCATGTGTTTAAAAAGGTTTTTATGATATCTAAAGGCTTTACCACATTGTTTACATTTATAAAGGGCTCCTGCATGAGTCCTCTCATGAGACTGAAGACTTTGACAAGATGTGTAAGCTTTTCCACATTCTTTACACTCATAGGGTTTCTCTCCTTTGTGAATCCTTTCATGTCTCTGAAACGTCTGATAATATCTGAAGGCTTTAGCACACTGTTTGCACTGATAGGTTTTCTCTCCAGTGTGGATGGTTTCATGGATTTGAAGCGAATATGAAGAACTCAAGGCCTTTCCACATTCCTTACATATGCAGGGCTTTTCTCCACTATGGCTTATTTTGTGTTTTTGGAAGGAAATGTAAAATCTGAAAGTTTTACCATTGTTTACATTCATAGGGTTTCTCACCTGTGTGAGTTCTTTCATATGTTTTAAGAGTTTCATGATATTGCCCGGCCGGGCGTGGATCAGCGGTTGAGCGTTGACCTGGGATCCAGGCAATCGGGGTTCGATTCCTGGTCAGGGCACATGCCTGGGTTGCAGGCTCGATCAATGACTCTCTCATCATTGATGTTTCTATCTCTCTCTCTCCCTCGCCTTTCCTCTCTCTGAAATCAATAAAGATATGTTTTAAAGAAAAAAAAAAAAGAGTTTCATGATATCTATAGGCTTTTCCACATTGTTTACAATGATAGGGTTCCTGTCCAGTGTGAATTCTTTCATGTACTTGAAGTGAAGCTGAATAACGAAGGCTTTCCCACATACCTTACATTTATACAGCTTCTCTTCATAGGTCAGATACTCATATGACTTGTGTCCATTATGACATCTGATGTGCCTATTATGAGATGACTGCTGCATGAAGACTTTCCCACACACTATGTATTCCCATGGTTGTACTCCACAAAGAGTTGTCTTGTTCAGACAGAGACTTGGAATAAGGCTGAAGTTTTCTCCACCTATCATATGACTTCTGTAAAAACTAAGATGCACATTAATGATTTATTAATAATTTTATATTTATTAGTAAAATATTTAAACTATATTTTTATTACTTATATCAAAATATAGATTTTTCTGTGTTGTCTAAATTGTTTGAAACTGAACATATAGAATACTCTTTAAATAATTTTACCCTTGTTTTTATCAATACTGCAATACTCATATATAAGGTTTATTTCTACTCTTTGCAAGTGAACTATTTTGTAAACACTGAACATCTGTATTATATATAAAAAGTAATTTGGTAAAAATGTTTTGAGAAGTAATAAATTTGAAGAAGGGGTTGTTTTGGTTGCTACTTTAAAAATTTTTGTAGCATACCAATATTATTATGTAAGACAGTGCTTTCTATTGTGAATGTGACTCACCTTAGTTTTCTCCCTTGGTTTTTATACTCATCTCCAATGTCAGGACTTTCCCATTTTTTTCCTAAAATGCAGACCAACAAAAATGAATCCAAAGTTTTAGAAAGTATAAAAAAAATCATTAGATTTATAGGTTAATGAGTGGTTGTCACAAAGCCTAGTTTATTTAACAATGGCCTCTCTTCCCACATTATACATATTAGACCAATGTTGACAAAGAAGAAACACTTGTTTTCTAATTGACAAGGTGAAGGTAGATTGTCATCCTTACCTACTGAGGTCAGGTTCCTAAATGTTTCCCTCATCACATCTCTGTAAAGTTTCTTCTGTGAAGGATTCAGTAAAACCCATTCCTCCAGGGTGAAGGTCACAGTCACATCTTCAAAGGCCACTGAGTCCTAAAACATCCAACATGTATGTATAGTAGGACACTTGAGACAGACAGCACTGGACATTGATACTCCATTTATAGGAAGGTTACGTATGACTCTGTCATTTCTAAACATTTATCTCTATAACTGATCATCAGAAACATACTGTCTTCCTACTTTCTCATAAATCAAATGCATCATAAGCACATGGAAATAATTTACACACTTTTACATTGATCACATTATATCTTATTTTTCTCTAATGGCAGAGTAAGTATGTTGGGAAAGAACAGAAATGCTATACAAATAAAAAAAATATTAGTTTAGCCCTGGATGGTGTCGCTCAGTTGCTTGGTTGGAGCATGTTCCCGTACACCAAAATGTGGGTTCAATCCAGTCCAGTGTGTACAGGAGGCAAACGATAAATATTTCTCTGTCTCTTTCTGTGTGCACATCAATGTTTCTCTCCCTCTCCTTTCCTCTCTTAGTTCAATAAAAAAAGTATATATATATACATATATGTTTAAAAATCATCAATTTCTTGTGAGAAAAAAATCTTTCATTTCCTTCCTTTTAACTCCCATTTACAGCACTCCCTTGGGCAGAGGGTCACATGTGCATGAGGTTTCAGTCAATAAAAAATACGGTGAAAAACTGGAAGCTTTTCCTTCTATTCCCATCATGGAAAATGAAAAGTCCAGGTGGCCATGTCATCCAAAAGTCCTCCAGGCCATTAGAAGCACAGGCACACCTCATTTTATTTTACTTATCTTTATTGTACTTCACAGAAATTGCATTTTTATCAACATCGAGACCAGGCCTTCCACTAGCAAAAAGAGTATGATTCACTAAAGACTCAGATGATGGTTAGCATTTTTTAGGAATAAAGCATTAAAATATTTTTTTAAATTTACAGCTGAAGTTTAATATATTAATTTCAGATGTATAGCATAATGGCTAGACATTTATTGTAACACATAAAGTGATTCCCACAGTAAGTCTAGTATACACCTGACACCATACATAGTTATTACAATATTATTGATTATATTCCCTATGCTGTACTCTACAGCCCTGCAATAAGGCATTTTTAAAGTAAAGTACGTAAGTTAGTGTATTAGACATAATGCTACAGCACACTTAATATACCACAGTAAACATAACATTTATATGCACTGGGAAACAAAAAAAAATTTGTGACTTGCTTTATTGTGATAATTACTTTATTGCAGAGGTCTAGGGCTAACCCAAGATAGCTCCAGGGTATACTTGTATTTAGATGAAGCTGGCTGAATAAAAATATTATTGTAAGGGAGCATTGCTTTTACTTTGTGTAGTATTTATCACAGATTCCTTTTTTTCTCTGAGTTGATGGGCTAGAGAGTTATTTGGAACTTAGAGCTCAGTCACATAATTTAGGTGATCAGAGGGACTGCACCACTGGGCCTCACAGGACACCTAACTCATAAGGCCTCCCTGCCAAGACTGGGAGATGTAGCAAATCTACTTAATACGTAGAAACAAACACAGGCAGCCAAAAAGAGGAGACAAATATGTCCCAAATGAGAGAACAAAAGAAAACTCTAGAAAAAAAACTAAGCAAATGGAGGCAAGCAATCTAACAGATACAGAGTTCAAAACACTGGTTATAAGGATGCTCAATAAACTTAGAAAAAGAACTCAGTGAGAACTTCGACAAAGAAATAGTCAATATAAAAGACATAAAAGAATGAGTCAGAAAAGAATACAATAACTAAAATGAAAAGTAAGCTAGAAGGAATCAACAGATTAAATAAAGCAGAGGATTGAATCAGTAATTTGGAAGCAAGGTAGCAGAAAACATGCCATGGAAACAGCAAGAAGGAAAAAGAATATAGAAAATGAAAATAGTCCTGGTCGGTGTTTAGGACACTCTCAACACTGAGTGTCCCTGGGCAGACACTCAGTGTTTAGAGTGTCCGCCCATGCACTGCAGGGTCAAGGGTTTGATTCCTGGTCAAGGGCACCTACCTGGATTGCAGGTTTGATCCCTGGCCCCAGTAAGAGCGCATGTGGGAGGCAACCAATGTGCCTTTCTCACATCAATGTTTCTCTTTCTTTCTCCTCCCCCCTTCCTCCCTCCCACTTGCTATAAAAATCAATGGAAAAAACATCCTCAGGTGAGGATTAACAACAACAAACAATAGTTTAGGAAATGTCTGGGACAACATCAGGCAGATGTAGTATAGAATTGTACACTTGAAACCTACATAATTTTATTAACAAAGGTTACCTCAGTAAATTCAAAAAGTTAAAAATATATATATATTTTACTCCTATTGAAAAACTGAGATTTAAGTCAAGAAATGCTTTTAAGGCGAGGAACCCAGGGAAGGGCAGTGCAGACGGGAGAGATCATCCAGGAAAGTTTCCAAAGAGGACCCTCCATCCAAAGACCTTCCCCTAGGATGTCTGTGCCCGGGGAAGACGCTGGGGGAGAGAAACGGGGATTTCATACAGCATATTCCATGTGCTTATTGTTGGCTTTCCTCTCACCGAAAATATCCACAGACAAGCATACATACATCTTTATGTTTAGCCATTTCGAGGCTCTGGGAGGGAAAAACAATAGATTGGGTCTGTCTGAAATGCTTGCCGTAGGACAGTGATGCTGTGAACCAGGGGAAGCTGGCTTAGGAAACGAGAGAAGGGATCTGGAAATGCGGGGACTTGTCAATTCCCGTAAGATCTAAGCCTGGGGCGGGGCCGGTAGGGTCCTGGATTTGAGACCTGCTCCCACACATTTGGAAAACTCAGGAGAAAAACGTCTGCCCTTCGGGAGCAGTGAAGGACTAGGGGCCTCGCAGACCACAGCTCCTCCCACCACTACCCTTAGAGACAGAGACGCGACGGTCCCCCTGGGTCACCGCCCCTTCCGACAAGACCCGAGGCTGCGGGAACAGCGCCGCCCGCAGGCGCTCAGGCGCGGAAGTCCCGGCGGCGACGCGCGGGAGGCGGAGGTCGGCTCCAGGCCCAGGCTCCACGCGGTGCGGGACAGGATCGAGGTCTCCTTTCGACCAGCAGTTAGTCCCCAGCCCCCACACTCACCCTTTCCGGCTTCCTGGGTCCCCCTGGGTTCCTCCTAAGCCTTCCATGATTAGCGCAGGTCACCGCGCAACCAGCCCCCGCGGCGGCTGGGCACCCGGGGAGCTGTGAGCCCCCAGAGACTGCGGCGGGAGGAGCCCTATAGGTCCTTTAGGTGCGTTGCCCCGCCCACCCGGCCCTGCGGAGACTCTGATTGGACAG